TCATGGGAGGTTTCAGTGGTAGGGGAAAGAGCTCTCATGACCCTCAGACTTCTGGGTCATCATTGGATGGATGAGAGTGGCATTGGCTGATCTGGAGAGGCAGGTGGATAATGGACAGATGTTGAGTTCAGTTTTAGATGCATTCCTGAAAGTCTTGTATGTGTAGATGCAATCAGGCAGATTCTCAAGTGAGATGTCTGAACCAGATGCGCATTTTTGAGTCAGCACATTCTTAGTACTTGGAAACAAATAATACTATGGAAGAGCTTTCCGTTTCTAGTAATGAAGGAACAATTTCTGACCAACCCTTCCATGAAAAACAATTCTGGAGAAATTCTGAAAATCATTATCTGAAGACCAGCCAGTAGCAGGCAGAAACTAGACGGAACTGACAGTTTGAAGTAAGGGAATGGCATTGAGTTTCCTTAGTCTCAGTCAGCTTCATGTGGGACAATTAAAAGTTCCAAAATACCCAAAATCTGTTGTCAAAGTCTACTTGCATATGTGATTTTTGTGTTCAGAAGGCTAACTGCAGGCAGCCCAGTCAAGGCTGAAAGAACTAAACAGCTTTCTGCTGCTATTTATCTCAGAGATAGTGGAGTTTGGAGTTTGAGTCCAGCAAAGTAAACTGGTAAAACAAAAATTTTCAGAGGAATAGAATCGAATCCATTGTCTCAACAACAAATTAATAATTAATACCATGTCCAAAGTTTAGTAAAAATCACTAGATGTCAAAAAAACCAAAACCCCAAAAACTAGATGTCTCGGGGTCAGCACACTAATTGGTTAAATGAGCAGATAGTAAATATTTTAGGGGATGCAGTCCACATGGCTACTGTTGTAACTCTTCAACTTTGCCATTATAACATGAAAGTAGTTACATGTATGAATATAACTGTTCTAATAAAACTTTATTAGAAATGGGCTATGCATTAGGTTTGGTCAGCGAGGCATCATTTGCCAGCCCGACTGACTGGCACACATGGAGAAGGAGGAAAATTTGACCCATACCCTAGAGAAAAGACAACACATGGAGGCCAACCTGGAAATGACCCAGACAAGGATTTTAAAGCACCTAATATAACTGTGCTCAAGAATGTAAAGGAAAATTTGAACATAATGAATAAAATGGTACGAAATGTCAGAAAAGATCTCCAGAAGGGGTAAATAGAAATGATTGAGCCCAAAAATACCACCTCTGACATAAAAATTAGTTGATGGAATTAATAACTAATTTAAGATGTCAGAGTTTGTGACCTTAAAAGATATCCTTTTAGAAACTATTGACAAGAAAAATATTTTTAAAAAACAGTCTGATCGATGAGGTAAAACCAAAAAGTCTAATGTATGAATAATTAAGTTTTCAAAGGAGAAAGGAAAAAGCAAAAAAGTGTTTGAAGAAATAGAGGCTAAAATTTTGCAAAAAGCCTTAAGTAGAGAAGCCCAAGAAGCCAAGGGAATCCCAAGAAGGATAAATTAGAAGAAAAACATTTGGTAAAACCACAAAAGGATTAGTGGTTGCTAGGATTGGGGGAAAGGGAGGGATGAATAAGAAAACGGGATTTTTAGAGCAGTGACACTATTGTACTGTGATCCTACAATGGATACGTGTCCAGACACATAGAATGTACAATACCAAAGGTGAAACTTAGGTGAACGGAACTTTCGGTGATGATGATAGGTTGGTGTAGACTCACTGATTTTAACAAATGTACCATTTATACAGAAAATGTTGGTAGTGGGGGAGTCACTGTGTATATAGGGGCAGAGGGTATAGGAAATCCTTGTATCTTCCATTCACCTTTTTGGTGAGTGTAAACCTAAAACTGCTCTGAAATACCAGCTTGATTTTAAAAATTCCTAAGCCTATCATCAAACTGTGGATAAGCTAAATTAATGAAAAAAAAAGTTGAAAATAGCAAGAGAAAATGACATACAACAATACCAAAATCTCAGAAGCAGAGGAGCCCAGAGGCCAGTAGAACAAGATCTTTTAAATGCTGGAGCAAATAGCTGTCCAGTCAGCATATTGTTTTATATCTGGTGAAAATAACACTTTCAGATAAGTGAAAATTAAGGAATTTGTTGTCCCCAAACTTGCAGTATAAGAAATGCTAAATGCTGTTATGATGACACCTAGAAAAATGGATCTTCAGGGATGGATGAAGAGACCAGAAAAGGTACCTATGAAAGAACCTTAAACAGCATTAACATTTAATAAGCAGCGAGAGGAAAAGATCCCACAGTGTCTCCTTGAGAAGTGACCAGAGAGTTGGTGTGAAAATCATTAACTGGCACCATAGAATTCAAGGGAAGAGAACTTTCAAAGATGAGCAACCTAGTCACATCATCTTGCAAAGTAAATTAACATTGCAAGTGAAGTAAAAATAGTTACTGGATTAAATAATACAGAAGATCTTAGTCACATTAGCAATTGCAAATTCAATGGGAAAGTGAGGGCAGAAGCCACTGCAGTGGGTAGGGATGGGTGAGTAGCACATGAAGCTGTAGGGGCCACAAGTGTAGACCAGTTTAATAAGTTTAGCTTGAAAAGAGGAGCCGGTATAATTATAGAAGAAAAGTCTAAGAATGGGGATTTATTGTTTGTTTTTTCCATGACAGCTAATTTGAAAGTTCCTGAATTTCTCTCTGAAATGGGAGTTTGTATAATAATCTGCAGAAAACACGGAGATGCTGCTAATGTCAGAGTCCTGAGGGAAGCTAGGCGTGATGGAAGGAGTCTGCAGTGGACTTGTCCTCTCCCTCCAAGTTCATATGTCGCAATCCTAACCCTCAGCGTGATCAGGGTGGGGGTCTGAGCAGTAATTAAGTCAAGAGGATGGAGCCCTCATGGTGGGGGAGGGTAATGACCGTACCAAGGGTCCCAGAGACTTCTTGCCCGCTTTCTGTCACGTGAGGATGCAGTGAGAAGTCACCTGTCTCAAATGGGCAGGAGGACCCTCACCGGGTCTACCCCGTGCTGCCTCCCTGAGCTCAGGCCTTCTGGCTCCAGAATCAACCATGTATTCATTCTGTTTAGGAAGTGTTCAGAATGGACAACTTCAAAGAGACAGGTAATAGTGTTAAATGCGGAGAAATAGGAAATGACTACTTGTGGATACAGGGTTTTTAATGAGGTGATAGAAATGTTCTGAAATTTAGTGAATTTTGTGAGTATATTAAATGCTATTTGTGCACATTAAAAAGGAATATTTTATAGGATGTGAATTATATCTCAATTTTAAACCGTAAAAGTAAATGAAAACAACTGTAAAGATGGATAAAAATGTTAAAATGCCCCCCCTCCCCGCTGTATTGTGTTAACTTCATCTAAATCCCTGGCACAAAACTGCTGTCTAGCCAAGTAGGCACACTTCATTTTTAAAATTTTTTTAATTTTTTAAAAGCAGTTCAACAAGTGAATGGCTGAGTATGAGAATAGCAGATAAATAAAATTCCTTTGACTCATTTCCCAAAGGTAATGCAGTTGTGTCCCTATTACTCATTTCTCAGTGGTGACGTAGTCCTGCTTCTCATCCTGGAATGGCTTTTGGCATATCCACTTACCCGTCATGGTCCTCCCACGCATGTGACATGCTGAGCAGCCTAGGTATAACTGATTGTGTGGCTCCTGTCTAGATTCCCCCCTTAAAGCCTCATACACTCACAGGTGGGGATTTTTGGAGGTGCTGGGTTTAGAGTGAGTGAATGTGGATTAAGGGTGTGGTTACTAAATTAGTCCACTGATTGGCTTAGCACAGTTCTGGGTGTGGATAATGGGAAGGCCCACCCAGGGTGTGGGTGGCACCAGCGGAAAGGTTTGTAGTTTGGATGGCACAAAAGGGACAGAAAGGAGGTAGGCTCACTATCGCTGCTTGTTACCTTATGTCTGGCCTGCTGTGGACTTTTTGTCCTTTGTGATGCCCCTCTGCCATGCTGCCCTGCCTTGGAACCATCCAGTTGTGGACTGAAACTTCTATAAACCGTGAGCTGAAATAAACTTTTCCTCCTTTAACTGGGGTTGTCAGGTATTTTGTCTCAGCAACAAGAAAAGTAACTAAGACTGATTATGTTTCAACACTTTGCCAATTATTCTTCTAGGACAACGATGACAAACCTTTTAGAGACCAAGTGTCCAAACTGCAACCCAAAACCCACTCACTTACTGAAAAGTGCCAACACTACAATTGAACCTGAATACTGAGGTTTTAGTTTAGAAAAATCAACTTATCTGATGCCTGGCTGCTGGGGTGACTTGTTTGAGTATTTCATATAGGACACTATGATAACATGAATCAAGAAACCAGATGAGAAAAGATTTTTTTGTTGTTGTTGCTCCAATTTTTTATTGGTACCTTTTAGGTATACAATACGTTTACATTTATCATTGAGAGCTTGTACCTGTACATGATGCATCTTGGTCCTTATTTTTTCCCCATTCCCTGTGCTCTCTTCACCCCCTCCACCTTCCCTATTTACAAAGACTTTGTTTCCATTTTTTCTTTTTCTCATAGTTTTTCCTTTCCCTTCTTTCCTTTCCCCTTCCCCTCCCATTCCCCTACCCCTTTGGACCTTTTCTTCCTATTTCAAATTATCAGTTGTTCGTTTTAATCATTTTAATCCTTATTTACACTTTCAGTTTCTCACACCAGAGAAACTGTTTGGTATTTACATGTGTATGTCCTATTTATTTCACTTAAGAGTATCGCCTCAATATGCATCCATTTAGCTATAAATGCCTCTAGTTTCTCATTCTTTATGGCTGAGTAGTACTCCATTTTATAAAAAACCCCACATCTTCTTTATCCAGTATCCAGTTGATGGGCATTTGGGCTGTTTCCAAGCTTTAGCTATTACAAACTGTGCTGCTATAAATATGGGTGCACATATATCACTGTGGTATGATTCTTTTCATTCTTTTGGGAAGATCCCCAGCAGAGGGATAGCTGGGTCAAATGGGACCTGTAGCCCTGGTTCTTTGAGGTATCCTCATACTGATTTCCACAGTGGTTGCACCAGTCTGCACTCCCACCAACAATGGAGAAGGGTTCCTGAGAAAAGATTTTTTGTAATGAAAGAATCCAACTACTTTTTCCATTCTTGACACGTATGGGAGGAGGAAACAAAAATACAAATGGCAGTGGGAAAAGAAAATGGGGTAACTAACCAGGGGACAATTGGCAAATCCACATGCCCCAGTTTAGGAAGAACCTGGTGTCTATGTTTCTCAGCTACTTTTTAAGTCATAGCACCTGATACTGCTGAAATAAAAAGTTTAGCTGTTCTCACTTCCTGAGGAGGTGCTGCGCCTCATCAGTAAAGAACAATGCAGTGATTTCTGGGAGGAATCCAGTCATCCCCACTCGTCCACCTCGAGTCATCCAGCACCCACTGATTCCTGGCTCAGCTGGTATCCCCAGCACCTAACTAAGAGGCTGGGCTGAAGAATCTCGAATCTGGATTCAAATCCCAGCTCCTTTCCTTGAAAGACTTGTCCCTTTGAAAGTTTATTTAATTTCCCTGAATATAGATTTTTCCACTTTATTCCTAATTATTAATATGGGCTTTGCTTTCAAGATTTTCCTTGCTCAGAATCTAAATTTCTTTTAGGTCTAGACTGCCTAAAAGTAGGGGTTAGGCCTGCTGTAGTTAAAATGACATTTTTAGCATTAATCTGCTTGATCTTTCTCTGTGAAAACAAGTTTCACTGAATGACTTTACACATTAGCTGTATTATAGTTTTAAAGAAATGAAGTCTTCACTCTAGACCAAATTTTAAAAAGATGCTTTACTCTCTTCAGACATATCAATAATTCCTTTAATACGTATGTATGTAAGATGTAGGTTGTTTAGTTAAAACGGATCTTTATCAATGAACTTAAGAGTTTAGAAGCTAGAGGGAGCCCTTGGGAGAGTCTGGCCTCAGTGTTTACAAGGAAGAAATGAAGACCTACACAGAGAAGACGCCTGCCACACTGGGATGTGGCCCCGACCAGATTGTGCCGGCCTCTGCCCCCATGTGATGCTCGTTCCAAGCCATCCATTTCCTTGTTAAGAGAAAGGTAAATCGTGCAATGAAGTCACTTGCCCTGAATGCTTTCCTTTCTATTACCCATGACCTGTTTTCCTTCTTCAATGCAGGTCACCCATCTCGCATTCACTTCCGACCCATCCTGGGCTATCAGCCTTACAATGCTCAGGCTCTTTTCTGACCTCAAGTTCAAAAGGTTTCTCAGTGCTGCCAGTGGTAATTACAGTCTCCCACGCAGTTTTCCCACGGCCTTATGAACAAATACGAGCTGGTTATTTCTGGGTAAGTGTTCAGCCCCACATCCTCTGGCTCTCATGGAGAACTGTTTGATGAAGATGTTGGTCCTTCCTGCTGGGTTAGCAGTGCTGCCCAGACACCTGTTTTATGTTCCCTTCAATGGCTCTTAGTTTCTGATTCTTTATTCTGTTCTGTCAGAATAACTCAAAGAGAAAAAAATATCCATTAACATCTTCCTTGAAAAACAGTCAAAAGCCATTTTGAAGACCTTGGGTCCCTGGAGACAGGTGTATTTCTTTGTTCTTGCTTTGGTCCTGCTGGCAAAACTTTCTACCCTGGGATCAGAGGCTGGTGGCCGCACAAAGGAGCCGGGCCTTGGGGTTATTGTAGCTGCATGGCTGCTCCAGCCTGGGCACCACATGGACATTTTCTGCACAGCCAGGCTGGGTCCGTACAGGCAGACTCTGGAGTCCATCTCTGGACTATTGAAAACCTACGGAGACAGTTAGACAGCGGGTGTTATAAAGCATCCACTTGGAGTAGATATTTTAGGTACTTCACTGCAAAGATTCTCTTCATTGTCCAGCTATTTGGCCTGCTTTGTTTTGCTCTTGGGTTTTGTAACTCATATTTGGTAGTCTCTAATGAAGCCCTTTAAAAAAAAATAACAAGCACTACAAGTAACAATAACAACAAACACTAGGTAAATCCAGGGATCACCTTAACATTTTCTTTTTTTTTTTTGTACCGGGGATCGAACTCGGGTCCTTGCACTTGCGCAGCAACCTTAACATTTTTTTTAAGAATGCCACCCAGCATGATTTTTTTAATAGGGATTAAAAAGTGAATACCTGCTTTCAAGATGACTTTATTCTTTGAATTTCCATCACTGGCTCTGTTGACCTTCAGAACCCTGGTCAGTTGAGGTCAGTTGAGCATCCCTTCTTTTTGGAAATGATTTATTTCATTTTGAATGAAATTCATTAGATTGTTTTATAAGACTTTCTTTTATCTGCTTTTAAATGGTGTGCTCTTTAAAGTTTCAATTCAAAATCTCTCTTTTGGTTTGTAGCTTTGCTGCTTTGTTTTGTTTTTTTCTGTGAAGAACATCTCCCGCTGGAAGCTTAGCAACACAGCGGAGCTGCTTGCTTAATGAGGTCTTTGGTGTCTGACTCATATCCCTCACGTAAGTCACCATTCCACACTCATCATCACTGACCTTGTAAATGGCTTTAAATGGACTCTTGGGGACGTGACCACCTGCTGTCACCCCCAGGGAAGAGGATGAAGTAACTCACTCATCAAATTTTAATTAATGCCATACACCGTGAAAGGACCTGGCAAGTCAAGACCACAACCATGTGGTCCCTGGCCTCAAGAAGCACTTGTAAACAGGCACGCGTCCAGTGTCAGAGCAGGTGGAAGGTCATGTGAAAGCAGGTGCTAGCATGGGCAGGTGAGTACCTGACTCTGAGTGATCGGGAGGAGCAATGGGGTGGGGGGGGGAACCCCTCCCAGTGCTTTTATTCATCCAGTAAGCATTTACAGGCAATGTTGCAGCCACCACGAACACAGCACTGAACAGGCAGGTAGGCAGATAGGATTCAGATATTTATTCTTCATTTTCAAAAAAGTGTTTTGGTTAGGGCATTACAAATTTTACAATACATTTGTCCATGTCTAAAGAGTAATTTGGTTTGGAATTTAGAATTACAGTAAACCTATAGACTGATTTGGGGAGAACTGGCGTCTTCATGTTATCAAGTCTTCCAATTAATGAGCATGCTACATTTCCACATTTTTTAGGCCTTTGATGTCTTTCATTTGCATTGTGTAATTTTCAGAATACAGATCCTATACATTTTGTTAGATGTGTACTTAAGTATTTCAATTTTGGGGAGCCATTATAAGGGGTATTGTTTTAAATTTGTTTCTGCATTTTGTTAGTATGCAGTCCCTCCCCACCCCCTGATGCCACTTGTTCTCAGGTGAAAGATTGTGCCTTGCAACTATAAATCGATAGTTTTATGATGGTGATTTACCAAACATAATTCAGATCTTGAATTTCTGGAAGTTATCTGGTCAGGGTTAGAGCACCTCTGCATTACGAGCCTACAATGTTCAGTTGGGTTCTTGGTGAATTTTTGTGTGTTGGGAAAGAAGGAGCAAGAGAAAGATTTTGTTGTTGATGTGGCCACTTTCCTCCTGACCTTACCCATTTCTGGCTCTTTTATGTGTCTAGGATTAAAAAACTGAGCCCACCTGGGGTCTCTGAGAATCTGCATTTTCAACAAGCTTTCAACAATGCTGGCTGCCCATCCCAGGAATCTCACTTCAAGTTGTACAGATCTAGTCTAATGCTAATGCCACTAAAAACAAAAACAAAAAAATCAGGCCTACTAAATATTGAAAAAAAAAAAAAGGCTGAAGGCTGTTCTTAGGTCTAAGAAGTTTTGTTTTGCTTTGCCTTGTTCTCATACCTGCTACTCTTGGGTCTGCAGTGGACAAGAGGCAATGGGAGAGCTGGGAAGGTTTCACCTGTGTATGTGAACAACTTTAAGTGCCAGGGTTTTAGGGCAGTAGGATGGGCTAGCAATGGAGTGAGTTGATCTATCCCTAGAGTCCTTCTAGGAAAAATAGGACATGTTTTGAACTAGATTATTTAGAAGTTATCCTCCCTAAAGGTAAATGACCAAGCTTTTAAAAATGTAGCATATGCTACAAACTAGTATAGATTATTTCCTTCCAGTTTGTAAAACTGCTAGTGTATTGAAGCCTTCAACTATGCAGACATTTTCTCCCTGTGACTTGTGGTCTGGCCTCAGGTTACACATGAGGAGCATCTTCTTGAGTCTGGGACAATCACATGCTCAGGTTATATGCTTTGTTTGGCTTGCCTCCCAGTCAGTTCAGTCATCTTTCTCAGATGAGTCTTAAGAAATCCTCACCCTCTTGCACATGGTGGTGCTTGATCAGCATCTTACACCCATTTTGTACTTCAACTTTGCTTGTTCTTCTTATGGGAAAGAGATGAGCATCATGTCAAAGACTAGCAAATATAAAATCTTTACCACCATTTCTGAGATTGATGCTAGAATGCAAACCAAGATATTGGGACGTAGGTCTCCATGTGTGATCCTAAACTGAGATCGGTGAATTTGATAGCACCTGCTCCCAATACATCTCAGTCCTTCTCAGCATGGAGCCCCATGCATTTAAAAGCCAGGTGCAGTACCTGCTTGCTGACTTGGTTGCAGCCATTTTCAAAAACCACTCTGTAATAAGTATTCTGTACTTGAGGTCAGACACTTCCAATTGGGATTAGAAAAGCAAAGACTTAGATCTTTAATCCACTTCGATCTTAGTTTAGTGCATGGTGATAGGTATGGGTCTAGTTTTAATCTTTGGGAGGTTGAAATCCAGTTTTTCCAACACCATTTGTTAAATAGGCTATCTTTCCTCCAATGAAGGTGGTTGGCCCCTTTGTCAAAGATGAGGTGGCTGAGTATGTCTGGAGTTGTTTCTGCATCTTCTAATCTATTCCACTGATCCAGAAACACTAAACTTGCTGGAAGATAAGTTAGGTAGAACTCTTGAAGACATTGGCATAGGAAAAGACTTTATGAACAAAACCTCAGTAGCACGGGAACTAGCACAAAGAATCAACAACTGGGATCTCATCTTATTAAAAGGCTTCTGCACTGCAAGAGAAACCACCAACAGACCTAAGAGACAACCTACAATGTGGGAAAAATTTTTTAGCAGCTGTACCTTAGACAAAGGACTACTATCTAGAATGTATAAAGAACTTAAAAAAATCAGACCCCCCAAATTCAAAGACCCAATTCAAAAATGGGCATCTGAAATGAACAGACATTTCTCAGACAAAGAAGTAAAAGCAGCAAATAAATGTATGAAAAAATGTTCAACATCACTGGTCATTCGAGAGATGCAGATGAAAACAACACTGAGATTCCACCTCACCCCACAAAGAATGGCTGCTGTCATGAAATCAACCAATAACAAATGCTGGTGGGGGTGTGGGGAGAAAGGAACCCTTCTTCATTGTTGGTGGGAGTGCAGACTGGTGCAACCACTGTGGAAATCAGTATGGAGATACCTCAAAGAACTAGGGCTAGAGGTTCCATTTGACCCAGCTATTCCCCTGCTGGGTATCTTCCCAAAAGAATTAAAAGAATCATACCACAGCAATATATGTGCGCCCATGTTTATAGCGGCACAGTTTGTAATAGCTAAAGCTTGGAAACAGCTCAAGTACCCATCAACTGGAGACTGGATAAAGAAGATGTGGTTTTTCTATAAAATGGAGTACTACTCAGCCATAAAGAACGAGAAACCAGAGGCATTTATAGCTAAATGGATGCATATTGAGGCCATACTCTTAAGTGAAATAAATAGGACACGTATGTGTAAATACCGAATAGTTTCTCTAGTGTGAGAAACTGAAAGTGTAAATAAGGATTAAAATGATTAAAATGAATAATTGATAATTTGAAATAGGAAGAAAAGGTCCAAAGGGGTAGAGGTGGTGGGAGGGGAAGGGGAAAGGGAAGAAGGGAAAGGAAAAATTATGAGAAAAGAAAAAAAATGGAAATGAAATCTATGTAAAGAGGGAAGGGTGGAGGGGGTGAAGGGTGCACAGGTAATGGGGAAAAAATAAGAACCAAGATACATCATGTACAGGTACAAGCACTCAATGATAAATGTAAACAAACTGTATACCTAAAATGTACCAATGAAAGAATTTAAAAGAAAAGCAAAGCAAAGACTTAAGGCAGTTTAAAAACATATTACATTTGTCTTAAAATTGGCCTTTTCTGGGATGAATTAGGTTGATTTGGGACAAAATAGCTGTTATTTTTCTGAAGCAGTACAACCCAAATTGGAGTCTAATTCCTTTGACCCTGCCCAATGAGTGGAGTTGAGATGTAAGCATTTAAAATTTTTTATTAGTAAATGTTTGAGATATATAGATTTAATGTATTTATTGTGGGGAGTTGGTACATAATGCATTTTAGTCCTTTTTACTTCCCATTTCCCTCCTCCTTCCCCTCTTCTTCTATCCTTAGATCCTCTTCCCATTTATAAAAGGTCTACTTTCCTGATTCCTATCATTTATTTTGCTCTTTAAATTACTCAAATTTTGGGTTTCCCATGTAAGAGAAACCATGCACTATTTAACTTTCTGGGCCTGCTTTATTTCACTTAGCATTATGGTCTCAAGGTGCATCCATTTTTCAGATGTAGGTATTGTTGAAGTAAATAATAACATTTCTATTGAGTTCAAAGAAATGAATGTCATAAACATTGGGACAGGGAAATTAAACTTGGAAAAATAAGTCTGTGCTGAAACCTATTGGTGTGTGTGAACAATATTTTTGTTCTGAGTATTAGGCCCTCAATGCATCTCACATGACTATGATCATAAAATAAATGAATCTGACTTGGAAGAATTTATAGAACATAGCAAGGCAGTACATAAAAGTGTAAAAGAGATCATTGGCCATTAATTTATAGTACATTCTATGCATTAAATTTTCAAATGTCAGATATAAGAACAGAGTAGAAATAGGATATATGTTGCATAATGAAAAGGAGTTCAGGCACTGAAATTGTGTGAAAAAATTTCAGGAAAACATAGAAATCATTAATTATGATTCCATCTTCTATTTGTTAAACATGTAGATTAGTTCCAGCAACTGGTGTCTAGTTTTCATGGTTTTTGTTATTCATGCCCATATCTATCAATATTTTGAAATTATGGATTTGTGATGTGGAGAGAGAAGGGTATACAGCTCTGAGGGACCGCTAGGTCTTGGACATAGACGGGGGAGGGATACAGAAAGGCTCACCCGTGTGCAAGGACGTCTGACTGAATGCCACGACTGGACAGGCAGCCTAGCTAGCAGCAGCTCTTCTGCTGGCAGCAGCCCTTCCCACAGCCACAGCCACGGGAGCTGCAGCCACCAGAGCCACGGCAGGTGCAGCAGCAGCAGCAGACCACGGAGGTGCTGCCACAGCCACCTCAGACACCACAGCTGCCGCAGCCGCCACAACCACAGCAACCCATGGTGTCAGTAGAGGGGACTCGGGGGCAGAGGGAACCTGATGGCCCCTTCTGCTGGGGGCCCTTAAATACTCTGCTGCCTTGCTACACACGTGAAGTCACTTCCTCCTCATTGTTTTGGCTCGTATCTGTGGTGGCCATGTATTTCCTGTTGGCTACTTCCTCGTGGGGCACAGATTTGATTTCTATATCAGTTTTAGAGAAATTCACTTCTCCTTTAGCAATGGAAACAGAACTGACTGAAATGTTTGGTAAGACACTCCAGTCTGTTAGCCTGAGAGTCAGTCCTTTGATCAGTAGCCAGTGATCTCAGCTGAGAAGACCCCATTTCCTCACCTTTCCCAGGTCAGAGCTGGGCCCCTGGGCAAAGGTGGCCAGTCTGAGGTTTTTGTCCTTTATTGTAAGTATATGCACTTTATGTACACCATCTTTAATCACCATTTAAAGGCAATGATTTAGGTATATACAGTCTAAATTAAAATGGGTTTTAAAGCCCAGTAAGCCTAGGAAATATTGTATATTGTGTCTTAATTTGGGAAATTCACATTAATATAGTAGAGGGAATAGGAGGTTCTGGAAGAGAAAAAGTCTGAAAAATCAATGTTTAACAATAAAGAGATTCTCACCTATCAAATAGAAAACCTAATTAAAAACAAACCATTCACAATAGCAAATAGTACAACAATGTAAATCTAAAAATTTTAAAGGTGTTTATGGAGAAAATTATTAAATTTCGCTGAGGAACAGAGGAGACATAAATAGAGAATTGTACTAGACATCCTATTGGTTCCTGGCTGGCAGGTCTCAATGTCTAAAAGATGTCATTCCTTCCCAGCGTCATTACTGCATTCATTGCTGGACATGGTGACACATACCTGTGATTCCGGTGCTCAAGTGGCTGAGGCAGGAGGATCACTACGAGTTTGAGGCCAGGCTGGGCTACACAGTGAGTTCAAGAGCAGCCTGAACTACACAGTGAGACCCTGTCTCAAAAAACAAAAAACTCAATGCAGTTCCATTAAAAATACCAAGAGATTTTAAAAAATTGTTCTTAAAAAAAACTGGACAGTTACCCCTAAAATACCAATGTCTTCAACCTTTTTGGGTACGTTTTCTTCTGGTAGTTTCCTAGTTTCAGGCCTTACATTTAAGCCTTTAATCATTCCGAGTTCAGTTTTGTTACTGGTGAGAAGAGAGGGTTCCAGTTTCATTCTTCTGCTTGAGAGTATCTAAGTAACTATCTTGAAAAGCTGTAACCACACACTTTATTATGCATAATCTTCTGCATGCCTGGCTAATTGCCCTTTCCCACATTCATGCTTCCAGACCCAGCCCCTCGTTTTTCATGTCACTTTCCTCACTTCTGTCATCTAAAGGGAACAGTTTTGGACAGAGCCTCCTGCATGTGTGGCTGATAAGGAGAGGAGAAACAAAATATAGTTGCTGAAGGGAGTGGGCTTAACAGATTTCCTACTTGAAGGAGGAAATGTCATCTTACAGGTTTTAATGCCATCAAGAAGGGCCCAGAAGGCTGGAGGAGTTCATTAAGATTAGCTGCAATGGTGAAGTAAAGCCAGATTGTTAAGGGCATTTAATGCTGACTGGGGAGTCTGAATTGTTGACTAGGAACAAAATGCAAAGCATTAGAAAATACAGCAGCACAGGGCAGCTTGCTTCTTTCTCTCTCTCCTTCCTTTCTTGTGCCATGCTAGGGACTGAACCCAAACCTTGTGCATGCCAGGCAAGCGCTCTACCATTGAGCTTCCCTCCCAGTTTGTGGTAGCTTTTAAAATACAGAAACTCCAAAATTTCACAAAATAGCATTAAGCTGCCATAACATTATACACTGGCCATGTAATAGAGATTGGCACTTGGTGAGATGCAAGTCTATAATAAGGAGCATTTAAAAGTAATTTGTCTCCTTAGGGACCAATATTTTCCCAATAACTGACCTACAAGTCCTCATAGTGCGGTCTAAACGCTGGAGTCTCTGAAGTTGGTACGATACCCATTTTCCACCTCCATATCCATGGGAGGCTGGGCTTTCTTCATGTACTCCAACCAAAAGGTCATCATATGATAGACTTGTTGCTGAAGTAGTTACGAGAATCCAGCCACTTTGGGTTATCCAGACATTAAAGAGATTTGCAGAAATGTCAAAAGATGCCACTGTACTCACTGATTTGTGTTGTTGCTGTTCTGAAAAAGATATTTTCCTTCAAAATATTTTATTTATGTGAGCATGTAACAGGCTTATATTGTTATCTTAAAATCAATTAATAAATACTTTTTAAAAAGTCTCACTGTTAATTTCCAATGCAGTAAATATCTACAGGTAGAAGCAACATAATGAGAGCTATTTGGGGTCTCAATTGATTGTCTTAGTGTGTGTTAGTAATTTGG